ACATATGCTGCAGGTATATAGGTCTGGGATTACAATGGCAGTCTGGGTACATGCAGACTTACGGTGATGAGAGCCAAGGGAGTGGCTGAAATTACCAAGGGAAAGAACTGAGAAAAAAAGTTCAGAACCTAGGATGGGAGACCTGAGAAATTCCATAGTTGAAGTTTGGGTGGAGAGGATGGAGTCAGCAAAACACACAGAGACAGTGGTCATGAAAACCACGATTCATTACAGAAACCAAGAGAAGTGTTTTGTGAATAAGAGAATGCCCAATTCCATTGGCTGTTGCTGCTACCTCAAGGGGGATAACTTAAACTTTTCCATGGAATTTGCCAACATGGAAGTTTTAATGACGTTTGGGGGCAGAATTTCTTAGTCCAACCATGTCATTATTTCAGCTGCTATGGAGGTAGTATTAAAAATTTATGATTGCTGTTCCAGGGCAGGGGATGTAAAAAAGTCACTGCTTCTTTAAGAGATTTGCATGTTTGCACTTATGAACAATATATGTAAATTCTTCGACTTAAAAAGTTTTTTTGCTCAGGTACCTAGATGGTTTGTTCCAATGGTCTCAAATCTTGGGAAAAAATGTTTAAACACTAACCCAGAACTTCATCCCAAGTTTGTGGAATTAAGTAGTTAAGAAGGTTCTAAGAAGAAATCAGGCCCTCTGGAGAATAAACAAAACAAAACACTTACACACAATTATTCTGCTGGAGATGACCTGGAAATTCCCTACAGATTCAACTGTATTAATACATGTAAAGCTCATAAAGTAGTGTCTGCTTACAAGTAGTGTCATCACAATATAAATGATAGATGTTTTTAGTGTTGAGCTATATTATTATAAAAAATTATTGCTGTATTCAAATCTAGGCTGCTGGGCAAACCTCTTAATTTATCTACTCCTGGTAAGAGCAATGTCAGTTTGGTGCTCAGGACCACATAGATACTAGAAATTGTCTGCCTTCAGGCAAAGGGATGAGAGTCATTGAAGTAATATCTAAATATGGTTTGGACATTGCATTTACCAGGGGATAAATTCAGGGAATGTGAGTCTCCAACAGGTTCTGTTTGTCAGTATCCTAAAACTGCCTTCCCACTAAGGTCAAAAGAATCAAAGTACTATGTCCAGATCCAGAAAGGGTGTCAGCCCTAATTGGCCATAGACCCCGGTGACCTTGGTATGGTGGTCATAACTGAGTAATGTGGGTGGATCTTGGGCTGGAGTGGAGCTGAAAAGGTGGAGAGGGTGTAGAATGGATGGGAGCCGAGAGAATGTAAACAGATGAAAATACAGAACCAAGTAAGTGCATTTAAAATTGGTCAGACCAGAACACTTTAAACATTGATAGGAAGGATCCTACAGAAAAGGGGCTGACCAGACAGGCATGGGTTGGGGTACAGAAAACACGTGGAGGTACAACCTTTTGATGGGTGGATGGACACATTTCCCTTCCTAGAAGGGATGAAGTTCTGATGTTGGAAAGTGGAGGCATTTCTTGTCTTGACGATCTGTGAAAAGTTCAGGTCATGAGCTGAGAATGGGGCAAAGAAAGGGAGGCTACAGATGTGTGGGACAGGAGAATGCTTACAAGAGTCAGAAGTTCTGAGTGAGAAAGTGAGCTGCCTAAAGAGATGTACTAAATATTGCTCAGGAGTGTGAACCTCAAGCAAATTGCTTTGTTTCTCTAAACCGTAGTTCTCTCTTCTGTTTAAATCAGGCCCCTGATGACAATAACAAATTGAGTTATTTCTGGGTGTAGCCACCATGACAAGAGTCAGTAAAAGCTGCCTTCTTTTAGTGCTGCTGGTGGGACATTACCATGTAAGAGCTCAAAGCAATGTTGGTGTCAAAGTTTAAAACATGCCAGCTGTTCTTTCAAGTATTGTCTTTTCCTCCAGTGTCGACTAACCTGGTTATATTAAGCTATATAGTTAAATACAAATTCATGTAATGAAACTTAAAACCACTGCATTATATAATAAAAAGGCAGCAGAGTGTTTTATTTTTACACGGTCATCATTCAGTAAATGCTGTTACATTGTGCAATACTACGTTTTAATCTCCTTTTCAATAGAAAGGTTTTCTAAGGAAATGACCTGGAGCCTTTCACATTTATCAGATGCCTTTTCATTATTCTTTTCCATTTTTGCAATTCTGGATCCAAACTGCATGGCCCGTTTTGGCAGAACAGCAGAGGTTGTTAAGCCAAGTTCCACGGCTGCAAGACGCAAAATTAGTTTTTCACCGATTCCACGGGGCAAAGTTAAGTTTGCCTTCTCCCAAACTGGGAGGGAATTTAGAAAGGAGACGACATTTTCATCCAGGAAAGGAAATCTAAAATAAATAAATATAACCACTGTAAAAAAAATAAAACCAATTTGTTATGATTGTTTTTGTGTTTTATTCAATGTTAAAATTTATAGCATCAAATTACTTTTGATGGCACTGTTTTTCTCAATTAAAAACATTCTGGTTATTTACACAATTTCACAACTAAAATTTAATCACACTGACAAATATTTCATGTGACTAATTTTAATACATATGCTACAAAATAAATAAATTTTGCCTCAAAAATAAATATATTAAGCCCATGGTAAGAAATAATCTCAAATTGTTTCACAAGGAATCTTTAGGGACGCCTAAAAGATGTGGAGGTAGGGCTTATGTTCTTGCTGGCAGGAAAGTTAACATTTATAACAAACTAAACCCATTAAATACCTTCTCTCAGCATTTCACTACCTCAGTTTTATAGTCTTGTTCATTGTGGTACTGACAACAATCATGCCATTGTATTATCTTTGAAAATTACTAAAAAGACATTCCTTAGAGAATGAGCTCCAGACAAGTGCTCTTCTGATCCTTCCCCATTCTCCCTCTGATGATGTTTGTAATAATATAAAGCCAAGCTATTATTGTTGCTACTGTTATTCATTTGAATGGTCTCCAAGGAAAAGGAACTTAAAAATCTCCTTTTACAGGCTAATGTGTTTTTTGTTCTTTTTTTTTTACAAAATTTCCAAAATTTCCCATAACAGCTTAGATAATCAGAATTACCTTGCTTCTTTTCCATGATCACCAATAACCCTGTCATCACGACCAAGATTTCTAGAAGAAATTCGACCGAGTTCCATCTCAATTTCCTTATTTAATCCCTCCAATCCGTGGGTCTGAAAGCGGACACGGTGACGAGAATAACCTGCAAGTTGTTCATCAGCACCAATTCCAGTAAGAACCACCTGTGATGGTTTACAGAAATATATCTTTATGATATATGATAAAGAAAGTAAGACACAAGCAAAGCTTAAAAAATTATAATTTCAAAAGTAATATTTTCAGACAAAAAACACAAGGCAAGTCATAAAATAGTAAAATATGCCCAATTTTTAAAAAAGTCTTCTATGCTGCATTGTAGTTTACATGCAATTAAAATATGCTATGTCCTTGCAATCTAAATGCTAATAGTTTAAAGGGTAAAACTGGGTCTCAGAAATTCTTTGAGCAGACATTCTGTACCATACCTTTGCACTGCTCTGATAGGATTTCACTTCGTCCTGGGTCACTAACCAACCAGTGCCTCTAGAAGCAAACCAGACTGCGCAGCCAATGCTATCGTCCAACACTGTATCCAAAGGCTGAACCAACTGGCATATTCGAGTTCTTCTGAATTCTTGCAGTTCCTCCAGAGAAACATTAATTTCAACAAAATTCCAAATCCGGGAAGGGTTGACAGCGTGGAGTTCCTTCAGTCCTGCTCTTCCTGTGATGCGATCTGGTACACTGAATTGTTTACCATGGTCACCAGCAGCAGCATTTTTAGAGGATTCTTCAGAAGGCAGTTCACAATAATTTTTCTGTTTTTTCCTCTTTTTGTTAAAACCAGTCAGCATGGTCTTCTCTTTAGTCATGAATGCCACATTAAGAAGATCAATTGGCTCATCTAAAGGTACATGATGGTCAGCAAGGGTCGCAATAATCATGGAATCAATACCCCCAGAAAAGAGGACTGCAACATTTGCTTTCCTCTCACCAGTTTTTAAAACCTCACTCGGTGTCAGGTTTTCATCCCTAGGTAAACATAAGACACGTCTCTTCACTGCGATACTAAGGACATCAATGAACTGCTGAACGACTTCCTTCATGTGTCCATCAGTGAGAAATACCTGAAGCGTCTCCCTTGCAGGCGGGACACTAGCAATGTTACGGCAATGGATCTCCAATGGAGCTTGTGGCAACGTCATGTTTAAAGGAACAACAGGTTCTTTAAGATACAGTTCGGCTTCATTTGCTACCACTGATACAAACATTGGCAAGTCTGCTGAAATCTGAGTCAGGCTATTAACACATTCTTTCATAACATTCTCCCTAGAAACACATTTCCAAGGGTACAATTTTAAAACCACACATTTGGAAATGGAAGGAGACTTGAGATCAATTCTAAAAATTCCAGATGCTGGAACTTCTTGCCACTGTTTGGCCACTCCGGATGTTTGGGCACCAACTGAAGAGAGGCAGAAACTCTTGCCCAAATTACTAAAATGCCAAAGCAAGCTACGGCGACCAAAAAAATCCCTACCAAACCATAAATGATGACTACATGCTTGGTAATATATAAAAGACCAAGGACCTTGGACTTCTGAGAAGAGGGACAAAATATCAGATTCAGTCTTACAAGAGGAAAGATAATTAAACATTACTTGAGTATCATTTTCTTCAGCTTCAACCTTTATACCACTAAAGACTTCTCCATTCCACAGGAACACATTGCCTCTTTCATCTTCCACAGGCTGGGCAGTCAAAACACCTCTTAGGTGAAGGACATGACCAGAAAATAAACACTGGTAGCTAACATCAGACTTTAACAACTGTTTAGTACTACTGGGTCCCCGTCGGTTAAGATTATACAGTAAGTCCTCTTTCAAATCTTTGCTGAAATGCTCAACAGAAAAGCTTACAGAACAACAAATGCCACACATTGTTATGTGAAATCAAGTCATTTCTTGATAAAATGTTATTTCTTGATTTTGGTCTTCTCTGAGTTTTCTATTTCTTGGTATTCTTTTTTCAGTTCATCCAATATATCTGTGGGGGGAGGGGAGAAGGCATATCAAGTAAAATAAAAATTCTTGGACCTTCACCCAGTAATTCATAGAGCAACATAGGCTATTTACCAAGATCAAAGCACTTGAGTATATGCAATGTGCTAGTGTCAATAATCATTTACAACAGGCTTCTGATGACAATGTTTATCTTTTAAGAAAATAATTTCTATTTATTAAATGCGTACTTTGGCCTAGGCACTGGACTATGAACTTTATATGTCCCTTCCTATTTATTTTTTTAATTAAAAAAATTTTTAATGTTTATTATTTATTTTTGAGAGAGTGAAAGAGAGAGAGAGTGGGAGAAGGGCAGAAAGACAGGAAGAGGGAGACACAGAATCCGAAGCAGACTCCAGGCTCCAAGCTGTCAGCACAGAGCCCAACATGGGGTCGAACTCAGGAGCTGTGAGATCATGACCTGAGCCAAAGTTGGATGCTTAACATATTGAGCCACCCAGGCTCTCCTTTCCCTTCCTGTTTAACCCACAAAACTTTTGAGTCTCAAAGTAATTCAAAGTCATAAAAAGAGAAAGTTGTAGAAAATTTTCATACCTAGATCTATGTAAAATTCTAAAGCACATAATTATAGCTTTCTAACACATCTTATATATCTTTATTTCACTTTCACTGTAGACTCATATTTGGAAGTCTAACTTGAAGAAAACCAAACCAAAGCATTAATTATCACACATATATACCACCATCCAATCTTCAGATATAAATTTAAACATTCAGATAGACAACATAATTTAGGCACTACTATTAATCTCTACAGAAAGCCTAGGAAAGATTTTCCATGCATTTCTATATAATATGCCAAAAAAACTTACTTTTGCTTTCAGAAAGCATTTCTGTTCGGTCTGCAAGAAAGAATATGTTGCTGTTCTGTTGCTGCCTATACACTTTCTGCAAAACATAATTTAGGCTAATATTATGATTTGATCTAAAAAGTGTATGTCGAAACTCTGAACCCTTTTGTTATGTGTTCTTGAACTTCAGTAACATATATTCAAAACAATACCTTAGCAAAATACAGGTAAACAAAAATCACCCATTATTACACCATCTAGAAATTGCTACCATTAACAGTGACATGAAATGTTTTTTCTGTATATACCATATTAGATTTCTTGAACAAAAAAAGGCTTATTATAAGTACAGATTTATTGTTTGCTTTTATCAAGGAACAACATGTTGGGAACAGTTTTTGTTATCAATAAGCATTCTTTTACACATTACTGTACAGGTGTGCCATTACAGTTTACTTGGTAAGTCTTTATGTTTTAGACATTTAAGGTATAACCAACTTTATAAATCAAAGTTGTAATGAATTTCTTTGTAACTAAATCTTTGTATACTTCTATGATTCACAAGTATCAATTCCTATAAGGGGAACTGCTCAGTCACAATGCTACATAGTTTTAATGCTTTGATATATTCTGCCAACCTCCCCTCTAGAAAGTTTGTATCAGTTGTGCCTTAAGTTCTAAATTTCCCTCAGTGACAAGATCAAAAATGGCTAACCAAGCTGTTAGTATCAAATGTTTCAAAGGGCTCAAAATAATTTCTTCCTGAACTTTGAAATATAAATTTTGACAGTATTACTACACACAAAGCAGTAGCTTGCTTGTTTATAGATACATTAATGGAAATATCATTAAATAACTATGTTAAATATTTGGCGGATTTGTGTAAATAATTTTGGGGAAAAGGGAAGCAATTTATCCTTTTTGTTTTTCAACAATTATCCACATTCACTTAAAGGTATAGTCTCCTTTCTTATTATAATATATATATTATATACTTTATATATATTTATATATTTTACATTTATATATTAAGAGACAGCACAAATGGGGGAAGGGCAGAGAGAAAAGGAGATACAGAATCTGAAGCAGGCTCCAGGCTCTGAGCAAGCTGTCAGCACAGACCCGATGCGGGGCCTGGGCCCACAAACCATAAGGTCATGACCCGAGCTGAAGTTAGATGCCCTACCGACAGAGTCAGCCAAGCGCCCCTCCTTTCTTATTTTAGGTTTATTTATTTCAAAAGAAAACACCAAATTCAAGAATAAAATAAATACCATTAGTGATTATAACTCCAAGTTATCACTGTATAATTAGCATCATTTGGTTCAAAGGTAATGTGAATTGTATCTGATGAGAAAAAATATTATCAACTATAACTAACATATAAGTATCTACGTATGTGTACAAAATCTTGGATACTTTTTACTTTCGCAATGTAACTAAAAACAATGCTAAAATCTTGCAAATCTTAATGAAAATTTAAATCTTAAGATATAATTCTTATAACTTTAGTATATAGTTAATACAATCAAATTCCCACATACAATTCGGAATTACTCTAATAACTCACCCTGTTCTTCTTCAGATTAGAAAGTTCATCCACAACAATTTTTTGTTCTTTAATCTATTGAAATAAAGAAAAATTCTTAAATCAGAGGCTATCAAGTATGTTCAATTGAGGGCCCTTTAAAATTGGAGATGGGATAAGGGATTATAATTTACTGACTATCCAGATGGGCAGTCTGTGAATGTATAGATTCTTTCCAACAGCAGTGTGTGAGGGTCCTGTAGGGGAAAAGTTGAAAGAGGAAACTGATTACACTTGGTAGGTGTTAGAAAGCCCTTGAGCCCAGAGGGTTTGGCGTTGGTAACCAGCATTCATGCAAGGGCCAGAGTTTCTAAACCAAGTTTGCACCTTTTATTTAAAATAGACAATATGCACCAAAAGTATTTTTAATGACTTTTTTAAGTTATGTTTTAATTTTTTTTATAAATAGCAAATGTCATGAGGGATATGCTACTTTTCTTCCCTCTCAAATATCAATGGTTTCCACGATTCATGTATAAATAGTACAGCCACACATCACACATGCAGAACAAACACACAGTACTAAATGCCCTACCTGGGACTGTAAGGCATTATCACTTTCCATCTTGATTTTATTCCCCTTTACATTTCAAAGCCTAACACAGTGCCGGCACTGTTGAACTAGGCCTCACTTTTTATTAGTTGGCAGGGAAACAACTAGGTGGAAGTGAATTTCTAACTCTTTTCAGTAAGGGCAATTATGCTGTGAACGTGACTGATTACATTGTGTCACCAGTGCCTCTAAAAGCTGGTTTTATTATTTTTTATTACAGTTGTCAAGTTGGTTTCCATATTAACACCTAGTGCTCATCCAAAAAAGTTAAAAGCAGGTTTTATAAACTCTGTCCGATCTCACACACCTCAGAGAACTGTCACACATCAGTATAAATGGCTTGCTATGGTAGTAATTGGAGCAGGTTGTATGTGGTTTGGAGGTTCACTCCCTATGGGTGTGTACCCTTCTGTCTCTCCAGTCTGTGCAGTAATTGGCTAGACTTGAGTTGAATTCCAAGACCAAATTTGTATAACTTTCAGATCTGCATTTGAAGTGGTTCTCCTTTTATTTTAGGAATGACAGGTACATTATACATGTATACATTCTACCTTTCACTTTACTTCAAACAAGGAAAGGGAGACAGACTAGTGACTTGTCCAAGATGTTACTGATAGTTTAGGACAAAACTAAAGTAAAATCTAGGACCTCTAATACCTGAATGGCTATAACCATTCCCATCTCCAGTGTATTTTTAAAGGTTCTGTTCGTTTATGGCAGTTCAAATATACATTGCTACCCCCACCCCTTTTGGGGGGTAGAACAGTGACCATAAGATACGTGTTTTAGGATCATTGCTCTAGCTAGAGTGGAGAATAGATTGGAAGAAGGTAAGGATGGATAAGGAGAGAATGGTTAGGAAACCAACGGAAGATTCCTAACGGTAGATAAAAATGGCTGGTTTAGGATGGTGAGTGTACACTGTGATGAAGGGATTTATTTGAAATGAACTTCAGAAGTAGAACTGGTAGGGGACAGACTTCAAGGATGGCTTCCAGGTTATTGGCATGGACAACTGAATAGATAGTGGTGACATTTTCTGAGACGGAAAACGCCGTAGCCGATCTGGGACGGGCAGTATTTCTAACAATTTACAAAGAGTAGAGACAAAAGACCCCAACCAAACCTCTGTCCCGCTGACATAGGGGTCTAATCTTGGGCCAAATTTCATAGTCTCCCTTTAACTGTGGCTGCCAATGCTAAGACTCAGGACAAAGTCGAGGCTGGGCCATGTGCGCGGGAGGCAAGCAGAGCCCAGTCCGGACCTTCGCGACTCGTCCTACACTCACCTTGCTGCTAAGATCCTCCTTGTGCGGGGTCGAGTTATCTGTAGAGGACAGCCCAGCGCCGTCCTCGGGTCGAGACCCCCGGCTGGGCATCTCCACAGAGCGCGGTGAACCCAAGACACGTAAACCCACTAACTCCCAATACCCACTAGGCCCCAGATTCAGCGCATGCGCGCTCCCAGCGGCCCCACCCCCTTGCTTTCGCTTTCCCACCAGTCTTACCGACAGCGGCTGCGCATTTACTGGAACGCCTGCGCAAACCGGCTCTGTCGTGGGAGCAGTTGTACGCGTGCGCACAGTTGCTTCGGGAGTTTGTGATCCTGGCTGTGAAATGTGAGCGGTTTCTAAACGGTCCCCTAGCGGATCCCACGTGGAAACGCTCCTGTGCTCTCCACACGGCGTGGAATCCAGTAGATTGTGAGTTATATGCGCCTCCCAGTGGTAAACATAAAGAATAGAAGAGCGGTAAAAATACCGACTTAATATTTATTATCTAGGCAAGGAAGTCTATGAAACTAAGGCATAGATTTAAGAGATAACATTTTTGGCAACGGAACTGTACAGACTTGGTAAAATGTTTGTGAACTTCCTATTAGGATTAAAAGATAAATATAGGATGCCTAGTTAAATATAAATTTTGGATAAGTGAATACATTTTTAGTATAAGTATGTTCCATGCAATATTTGCAGTATCTTACTCCTCTGAGAAAAATTATCCAAACATTGAAAACAGGCAAGAGATTAAGGGGTGTTCTTTAATATCGTTTCTGAACTTTATTTTCTATGGACTGAGCTGTTTTACAATTCTGTAGGAGCAGAGGTTAACTTGTAGATTTTGTGGCAGAGATGCAAATAATTTCTGTCTGGTGGATCAGATAATGCCACAGATTGTGACTGATTGTTCTGTACGACGTTAATCAGTTTTGCATCTAACTCTGCAGTTAATAATGATTTATTTATTAATATATGCCTAGTTTAAAAAAAACTGGTTTTTACATCTGTTCCTTCATGGATTGAATAACATTTTGACATATATTCATATTATACTTGCATGAGAGACATGATTTTGTATATTTGAAAATTATACTTCAATATAGGAACTCTCAAGCTTCTGTGGAGATGCCAACTGATGTGTACTCAACTGAAGGAATGAAACTGTATGGCTAAGGAAGTGCACCTCAGGGCTGTTTAGGTCTAGGCGTATCTTTTATTGACTCAGAGTAAATTCAAAGTGGTTATAGAACTAAGTTTACTGTCTATTTTTCCTTTTTACTGATTTTTAAAATTTTGCTTTTGTTTCTAATTTATGCATGTCTGATAAGTTATTATACATTGGTAGCAGCAGTGATTGGGAATTTGGTTTTATGGTATAACCATTTGAAGATACCTATTGCATGATGGAGATCTAGTCTCTAATAGAAGAGAGATGAAAGAGAATCCAGTTTTTTGGTCTTGTCTTTTATGAGCTCAAATTAATTAAGAACTTTTTGCCCACTGGGAAATAGAGCTGCTTTTTGAGATCTGGGCTGATGAAGACTGGTATTTCTGTTTTGCCTTCAACCTGGAACCGAGATGTAAAACTGAAGCTATAAGCTTTCTATGTGTCCATGTGTCTGTAATTCAGAACAGCCTTTATATGTTGCTATCTGAGTGTTAAATGTTTTTATGCTTCTGAAGAGTATTAACAAATTCCATTATAATGTCTCTTGTATTAAAGAAATTCTGATTCCATGAAAATTTTAGGATTGTTTGTTCTAGCTCTGTGAAAAATGCTGGTGGTATTTTGATAGGGATACACATTAAATGTGTAGATTGCTTTGAGTAGTATAGACATGTTAACACTATTTGTTCTTCCAATCCATGAGCATGGGATGTTTTTCCATTTTTTTGTATCTTCTTCAGTTTCTTTCCTAGGTGTTCTATACTTTACAAGATACAGAACTTTTACCTCTTAGGTTAGGTTTATTCCTAGGTATCTTGTGGTTTTTGGTGGAATTGTAAACCTTATGGAGTTTGGTGTGATTTCTCTTTCTGCTCCTTCATTATTGGTGTATATAGAAATGCAACAGATTTCTGTATATTGATTTTATTGATTTTGTATCCTATGACTTTGCTGAATTTGTGTATCAGTTTTTTGGTGGAGTCTCAGTCAATAGCCAAAGCAGTCTTGAGAAGAAAAGCAAAGCTGGAGGCATCAAATTTGAGACTTCAAGCTACATTATAAAATTATAGTCCTCAAGATGGTATGGTAATGGCACAAAAACAGACACATAGATCAATGGGACAGAATAGAAAACCCAGAAATGGACCCACAACTATATTGTCAACTAATCTTCGACAAAACAGGAAAGAATATCCAATGGAAAAAACACAGTCTCTTCAACAAATGGTGTTGGGAAAAGTTGACAGCTACAGGCAAAAGAATGAAACTGGATTACTTTCTTATACCATACACAAAAGTAAATTAATAATAGGTGAAAGGCCTAAGTTTGAGACAGGAAACAATTAAAATCCTCGAGGAGAGCACAGGCAGCAACCTCTCTGACCTTGCCTGTAGCAACTTATTAGACATATCTCTGGAGGCAAGGAATACTAAGCAAAAATGAACTATTGGGACCTCATCAAGATAAAAAGCTTTTGCACAGCAAAAGAAACAATCAACAAAACTAAAAGGCAGTCTACAGAATGGGAGAAGATACTTGCAAATGATATAGCTGATAAAGGGTTAGTATCCAAAATCTATAAAGAACTTATCAAACTAAACACCCAAAAAACAAATAATCCAGTTAAGAAATGAGTGGAAGACATGAACAGACACTTTTCCAAAGAAAACATCCGGATGGCTAACAGATACATGAAAAGATGCTCAACGTCACTCACCATCAGAGAAATCCAAATCGAAACCATGAGGAGACAGCACTTCACACCTGTCAGAATGGTTAAAATTAACAACATGGGAAACAACAACAGATGTTCGTAAGGATGTGGAGAAAGGAGAATCTTCTTGAACTGTTGGTAGGAACAGAAACTGGTGCAGCCACTCTGGAAAACAGTATTTAGTTTCCTCAAAAAGTGAGAAATAGAACTACCCTATGATTCAGCAATTTCACTACTATGAATTTACCCAAAGGATACAAAATTTTGATTTGAAGGGTCACATGCACACTCATGTTTATAGCAGCCTTATCATCAGTAGCCAAATTATGGAAAGAGCCTAAATGGCTATTGACTAATGAATGGATAAAGAAGATACGGCACACACACGTGTACACACACACACACACACACACACTGGAATATTACTCAGCTATCAAAAAAAATGAAATCTTGTCATTTGCAATGACATGGATGGAGGTAGGGTGGGTGTATTAAGCTAAGTGAAATATAAATACCATATGATTTTACTCATGTGGAATTTAAGAAATGAAACAGATGAACATAGGGGAAGGGGGAAAAAGAGTTTTGAGGGCATATTCACAAGATAATAGTTTTTAAAACTTTTTAATGTTTATTTTTGAGAGAGAGAGAGAGAGAGAGAGAGAGAGAGAATGAGTGGGGGAGGTGCAGAGAGAGAGAGGGAGACACAGAATCAGAAGCAGGCTTCAGGCTCTGAGCTGTCAGCACAGAGCCAGATGCGAGGCTTGAACCCACAGGCCATGGGATCATGAGATCATGACGTGAGCCAAAGTAGAATGCTTAACCAAGTGAGCCACCCAGGTGCCCCTGATAATAGTTTAAAAATTTTTTATTGCCAAATACTGTATTAATTAAAAACTGAAATTTGGGATTCTTTTAACCCACCTCCTGGCTGATTCTCCAACACCCTTAGGGTTTAATACAGTTGAGATGGTGGGGACCTGGGAACACACCTCTCCTGACACATGAGATGTGATTTTAACTCATGCTTGGAGGCAAAAGTAAAGCTTTTCTATAAAGCTGGAGACCAAGCTCTCAGTATATTGGTCTTCTTTGTAGTCCACCTTCTATGGCAGTGGCTGGCAGAGTAGGAGTTCTGGTTCAGGTTTGAGTTTACTCTTTGACTCAATTGTTTCCATCCTGAATAGTCAGAAATACTCCTGATTGGTCTATAGCTGCTCAGCCTCTTTTGGTGGTGGGTTGTTGCTTATGGCTCTGCCTGGTTTGGATATTTATGTTTTCTGGTTTGTGTGTGTGTGTGTGTGTGTGTGTGTGTGTGTGTGTGTGTGTGTGTTTATTTCTGGGGGCCACTTAAGGTGACATACTACTAAACAAAGTGGAGATAGTCATATTATTATGGTGCTAAACTGTTTTCAAAATTCTTTCACATTTTATCTTATTTTTTTCTTGTATATCCAGTCATGTCTATTTCCCCCCACAGCTGTTATCATTATTGCATTGCTTTAAATCATACTTTAGGGTTACCTGGCATCATTTGTCTTGCCTGACTGGTTCAGGACTGACCATATGGAGCTCACCATATAACCAGCTAGGCTGTTCTTCCTTCTTTCATTTAAGTCCATTGCTGTCATGTATCTACTTAACAAGATAATTTCATGTATATTAATGCTATTCTACTCTTCCTCTGATTCTACATTCTTAATATATTTTATTCTGTTTAATAATACATAGTTCCCTGTTGACTCTTTTATGACCATGAGGTGTATTACTACCTTGCTCTCCAAGGCTTTGAATGAATAGTTGCCCCAACAACTGTTTTTCTTTCCTTTTTTGGTATATTGTAACACGCATTTGTTTCTGGCCACATAAGCCTTCTTTACGTCTCCCAAATGAGGTGTGGAATAGTGCTGTGGTTCCCAAATACCACGTAGTAGGTGGGTGCCCTTCTAAGTATACAAAGTCACCTGAAAATTTTGTTCAAAGGACAGATATTTCAGTCCTTTCCCTAGATTTACTGAATCAAATCTTTAGGAATGGGATATGGTTGTCTGCTGCATAACATAGTGTTTACCATTTACTCTGTAACCAAAAGGGCTGGGCTTGAATTTAGGCTTATATTTATTAGGTGTGTGACTTTGGCTAAGTAAGTCATTAACCTCTCAAGACTCAGTTTCCTAATCTGTAGAATGGGAATAATAATAGTGCCTAACTCAAAGGGGTTGTTATGAGGATTGAATGAGTCTATGTTTGTCAGGTGTTTAAAATAGTTTAAGGCACATAGTA